CCGAACTCCTCCTGAAAGTAATCCCCAAGGGAAAACTCCTAGGAATATTGTAGCCAAATTCCAAAGTTCTCAGGTCAAGGAGAAAATATTACAAGCAGCCAGAAAAAAACAATTCAAGTGTTGTGGAAACACAATCAGGATAACAGAAGATTTAGCAGCTTCTACATTAAGGGACCAGAGGGCATGGAATATAATACTCCAGAGGGCAAAGGAGATAGGATTACAACCAAGAATCACCTACTCAGCAAAACTGAGTATAATCCTTCAGGGGGAAAAATGGTCATTCAGTGAAATAGAGGACTTTCAAGCATTCTTGATGAAAAGACCAGAGCTAAATAGAAATTTTGACTTTCAAATACAAGACTTAAGTGGAACATGAAGAGGTAAACAGGAAAGAGAAATCATAAGAGAATTATTAAGGTTGAACTGTTTACATTCCTGCATGGAAAGATGATATTTGTAACTCATGAGACCTTTGTCAGTATTAGGGTAGTTGGAGGGAAAAAAAACATATGTATGTATATAGATAGAGAGATAGAGAGACAGAGGGCACAGGGTGAGTTGAAGATGAAGAGGTCATATCTGGAGAATAAAATTAAGGGGTGAGAGAGGATTGGACTAGGAGAAAGAGAAAGGGAGAGGTAGAACGGGGTAAATTATCTCACAAAAAAAAGAAAAGGCTCTTAAAATAGAGGGGAACTGGGGGAAGGTGAGAGGAAATGAGTGAATCTTATTCCCAAAGGATTTTACTTAAGGAGGGAATAGCATACACACTCAACTGGGTATGGAACTCTATCTTACCCTAGGGGTAAGATAGGGGGAGAAGCAGACAAGAGAGTAGGGGGATGATAGAGAGGAGGGCAGATTGGGAAAGGGAGTAATCAGAAGCAAACACTTCTGAGGAGGGACAGGGTCAAAAGAAAGAATAGAATAAATGGGGGGCAGGATAGGATTAAGGGAAATAGAGTTAGTTTTTCACAGCATGCCTACTATCGAAGTATTTTGCATAACTCCACATGTATAACCTATATTTAGTTGCTTGTCTTTTCAATGAGGGTGGGTGGAGAGGGAGGAAGGGAGAAAATTTGGAACCCAATATTTTAAAAACACATGTTTAAAAAAAATTGTTTCCACATGCAACTGGGAAATAAGAAATACAGGAAATGGGGTACAGAAATCTATCTTGCCCTACAGAAAAATAGAAGGGGAAGGGGATAAGACAAGTGGGGGAGAGATAGAAGGAAAGGCAGGTTAGGGGAAGGGATATTCAAAATGCATGCCATCTTGGGGTGGGGGGCAGAGTGAGATGGGGTGAAAATCTGGCACTCAAAATCTTGGGGAAGTAAATGTTGAAAACTAAGAATAAATAAATTTATTAATATAAAAAAAGAAAGTAAGCTATCTTGAGGGCAGAGACTGTGAATCTGCTTGTATTTGTATGTCTTGTGCTTGGTACAGTGCCTGGCACACAGTAAGCACTTAATAAAGCTTCTTGGCTTAATCAATTAACTGATAAACATTTTTAAGTACCTCATTTATGCCAGGCACTGTGCTAAGTGCTGGGGATACAAAAAGAAGAAAAAAGAGTCTCTGCCCTCAAGGAGTTTACAATCTAATAGGGGACAACACGCAAACAAATATACATGAAGCAAACTATATTACAGGATAAGTAGGCAATAATTAACAGAAGAAAGGCATTAGGATTAAGAGGGGTTGGAGAAGGCTTCCAGTAAAAGATGGGATTTTAGTTGAGACTTAAAGGAAGCCAGGGAAGTTAGTGGGTGGAGTTGAGGAGGGAGAACATTTAAGGTATAGGGAACAGCCAGATAATATATCTGGAGCCTACAGATGGAATGTCTTGCTTGTGGAACATCCAGGAGGCCAGTGGTCACTGTGACAGGGAGTAAGGTATAACTGAAAAAGTAGGAGGGGGCTGAGTTATGAAAGGCTTTGAATGCAGAACAGAGGATTTTACATTTGATCCTGGAAGTGACAGGGAGTCAGTGGAGTTTATTGACTAGGAAAGGGACATGGGTGGACCTATGCTCTAGGGAAATCACTTTGGTGGCTGAATGGAGGATGGCCTGGAGTGAGGAGAGACTCCAGGCAGGAAGACCCTCCTGCATCTACCACAGCCCAGGCTTTAGGTGACGAGGATCTGCACCAGGGTGGGGGCAGTGTCAGAGCAGAGAAGGGGATGGAAGATGTTGCAAAGGTAAAATTGACAGGCCTTGGCACCACATTGAATATGGGTGGTGAGAGAGAGTGAGGAGTCCAGGATGACTCCCAGGCTGTGAGCCTGAGGGACGAGAAAGATGCTACTGCCCTCTATATTGATACGCAAAATGGGAGGAAGGGAGTGTGTAAGGGGAAGGGTAATGAATTCAGTTTTGGACATATTGAGTTTAAGGTGTCTACTGGACCCAGTCTGAGATATCTGAAAGTCAGTTGGAGATGCAAGACTGGAGGTCAGCAGAGAGGCTGGGGCAGATTAGATAGATTTGGGAATCATAAGCACAGGGATGGTATTTAAATCCATGGAAGCTGGTGAAGTAGCTTAGGAGGGAGAAGAGACTTGGCTTGAATCATCATTCTTCATAGCCTGAAGGTGGAGTCACTTGAATAACCTGGAGCATGTTCTGGGCAGAATTACTCAGAAGGTAAGCTGCAAATGGCCTCACCTTTGCCATCACCTACCCATTCCTAAGAGTCACTCCTATCTTCGTAGATAACTTCAGCACCTGGTTGTCATTTTATCTATACATCCTTGTTAACTTCAATATTTACAATATGGCCCTAAAAAGTCCATCGACATCTCTGTGATTCACCTCCATTCCACAATCAGCCAACACACAGCCTGGCCACAGCCTGGACCTCATCTCATGTCATTACTTCACATGAACACATTTCAAACCGGACAGCTCCATTTTCCAGCCCAACTTCTTTCTTGATCTAATCTCTTATTCTCCAACATTCGCTCCACACGCTCTGCCTCCTCACAGATACGTTGACACCCTTTCTGACACCCACCATTCACACCAAAAAAAGCAGTGTACTCTTGACTGTACTATACTTCTTCAAAGGCAAGATTTTTTTAATTTTGAGGAATCTATAGGCAGATCTCCTGAGGTCTATGAATTTGGATAGGAAAAAGTACATCTTTATTCTCATTTATCTGTAATTGACATTTGGTATTCACTTGAATCATAAATTAAAACAAATAAACAAACAAAACAGTGTTTTGAGAAGGTCTCTTTTGGTTGCAGCCAAAGGGGTCTATGACCCAAAAAAGGTTAATAACTCCTGCTCTATAACCTGGTGTCCATGGTTGGCTACTTTATATACGTTTAACATTTATACTTTATATATGCTTTTACTTTAATTTCAACAATACCTATTTCACTAAGTTGCAACTCTGGGTTCCTCCTACTGTTCCCTAAACCATCTGGGTCCTGGGCAGAAAAAAAAGCATGGAATAAGAACACAGACCAAAAAGGCCTGTCCCATTACAAATTCATGTTACTGTCTTTTACTAACCTATACTACGTGAACTTAGTCTCTCATTTAAACCCTAGTCCACTTCATAAATAAGTTGTTCTCTCTCCTCAAAGGTCCAATTCCAATATCAACCCAGATACAGTCTCCTAACGATCAGCATCCATAACTATCTTTTTCTTTTCAATACATTCCCTTCATAGACCACAGAAATTTGTTTTCTGTGCACAGTGTTGCATAGAATATTGTCTTTTCCCAACAGACCACAGACTTTACAATTTGCCTTCTCATACTTCCCTCCAGATAAGGTATTCTTGCTTCCATTGCCCAGGTAGATGATAGGCTCTTTGAAATGAAATCTTTATGCTTTTCCACAAATCTGAATTTACCTCTTGATATTCCTTGGCAGGAAGGGCCTTCAACAATCAGTCCAGACTCCACATTGGCTCCAAAAGATGAAATGATAACTCCCTTCTTCCCAGATAATCAAAACCTACCAACATCAGCTAGTTATTTCCAGGGCATGATTAAAGAAACCTTTGAGAAACCTACGCTGCTCATTTGAGCCCAACTAACATCCGTCTCTGAACTCATATAATACCTAGTTCCTTTGGTATTCCAAAAGATACTGGAAAATGCATGAGTAAAGCATATTAAACAGTTAGTCTTAGCCTGATCTCCACAATGTGACTGAAAGTTTGTTATACTGTGGTGTTTAAAAAAGGTCAAGAGACACAAATTCCTGGATAATTTAATCATTTTATTAATAAGGTCAGCATATTTATTAACAAAAGAATGGTCATTTGGCTGTCTTACTTAGACCAAAGACCCTTCACGATGGTGGGCTCAGTTCATGTGCTCTTGGAAGAGTAGGTATTCCTTAGGGCGGCAAACAACTCTGACTGGTGACCAATTAATGAGAAAATGAATATCACAATGAGAGGGTGGGCTATATTACAATGAGGGTCGTGGACTCCATAACTTGGGGTCGCCCAAATCTCGGTAAAGGAGATTTATCAACCTTCATGCGGCCTGCCTGACTGCAGGGGGGATCCCCATTTTCCCAGACCTGTCTGAGCAAACACAGGGCGCAGGAATGCACTTCTTCTTTCCTTCACTGTCTTGGATCTTGGCCTGGGTAAATCTCTGCCGAAGATTTTCCACGCTGGTGGATTTCTGGACGAGGCAGTGAAAAAAGGGGGGAAACCTGGTCCTAGCACAATAATGAGCTGCTCGCACTAGAGAGAAATCATCGCTCCTCACGCTAGGACTGAACCCTGACCCACCCTCGTCGACATCCTCATCCTTCACAGCGTCGGGTTGGCACTGGGCACCGGGCACTGGGCGGACACGGAAAGAGAAGCCTGCCAGACGCAAAGCTCTCCTGGGGAAGCCACCGCCTGTCAGAGCCGCCTCGCCTCCGGGATTCGGGGAGCTGGGGGGGGCCGGGGGAGGGGCACTCTAAACACGCTCGTCCGTTCAATCCCATCGAAACCCCAACTCACCCGAAGGCAGCTACAAGGACGACGGGGACCACCCCTTTTCCCTTTCGGAACACAGCAGGGACCTCCGCTCAGGCTGGGGCCCGGGGCTCCGGGCAGGAAGCCCAGGTCGGGGGGGGGGGGGGCACCTGCCCGGCCCCATCGTGTTACGAAGGAGGGGAGTCGGGCTCAGAGGCGGGCGGGACGTGCGGGGCCTCGGCGGCCGCCGCGGCACAGATGGACGAGGAGAAGGGGCCGGGCTCGCGCCCTGGGCCCAGTCCCGGCTGGAGCCCCGGGGAGGGTGAGTGGAGGGGACGCTGTGGCGAGAGGGACCGGGAAGCCCTCACCAGGAAGGAAGCGGAAGTCCCCGTGGTCAGCACCGCCTCTTCCGGTCGCTCTCCGAGGTGCCTGACGGAGCTCCTGCCGCTGCCGGAGGGTCCCCGGGCTGGGACTTCTGGGAAATGGAGTTCTGCGCCTCGGGCAGCCGTGTGCGCATGCTCCGAGGGCGATTGCTCGGGCTGTTGCGGAGCTCTCCAGCTTCCTCGGTTCTGGCTTTCCTGTATTTGTGTATTATTGTCATTTTAAAGTTTTTTTTTTATTTTTATTTTTACTCTGTTCTTATTTTCCCATTACCTTTCCACCCTTCCCCGCCCAGGTAATCAAAACCAATCAACAGACGCTGTGTTTGACAGCATGGACATAGTCTGTACGCACAAGTCCACACCTGTAGTCCCCCACCTCTCCACCGGTTGTGGTGTTTCATTATCTCATTAAAATTCCTGCCTTCAACTGCCTTTTAGTATTAATTTTTGACACCTTCAGAGTCACTGTGTATATAACTATGCTTTTTGTTTTGTTTTTGCTTTTTGGTGGGGCAATCGGGGTTAAGTGACTTGCCCAGAGTCACACAGCTAGTAGGTGTCAAGTGTCTGAGGCCGGATTTGAACTCAGGTCCTCCTGACTCCAAGGCCGGAGCTCTCTTTGCTGTGCCACCTAGCTGCCCCGTGTGCATTCTTAACATATAATAATTGGGTTTTCAATCAAGAAGGCTAAGCAATTAAAAAAAAATCAAGGGAGTGGACCCCTTCCAAAACTCCTTGCACCATTGAATCTCCTCCTCAACTCACCAACAATACTGAGGGAAACTTCAGGAAAAGAAATACAAAGAAGCAAGGTTAAACCACTTGGAGAAAAGCAAAGAGCTACATGGTTGGGATGGAGCCTTGAAACCCACATGGCCCTGCATTTGGTGCATTTTTCCCCTCAGCCCCTCCACCCACACTTCCCTGTCTTCCTGCTTTATCAGGTTGGGGGACAAGGGCTGTGGAGTTCTTTTCCCTCTTTATCCCACCATATTGTCCTGAGCTCTTCAAGTTCAGAGGTACTACTGCCCAGTAGACAGGCCCAGCCAAAGGAGCTCCAGGAATATGGATTTCCAGGTGGCAACCATATTGAGCAGAGGCCCAGGTCCTCCTCACTTCCAAACTAGGGCCACTCGAGCCCCAAACCTGCAAGAGCTGCCTGACCTCCTAGAGCAGCAAACTCTGAGCAAACAGAAGAGTGGAACTTGGCTTCATCTTCTAGCCAACTAAGGCTCAGGACATTCCTAGTGAAGGGGGGGTTTAGGGTGCTCTTAGATGCACAGAGGTACCCCAAGATTGTGGGAAAAAGCCCAAATCATGGCGCAGATCTGCCTGAATGAATTCAACTCAGATCTTCTTCCAGCCAGAGAAAGTGTTTATTAAAGATAAGCATATAGGTCAGACTCCAAAGGAACCCAAACATCAGTGATCTAAATAGGGTTCAAGGTGGTCAGATGATGCTCACAAGGACGAGCAACATGAGGCAGTCTAGAAAGCTCAGAGTCTGAGTGGGGGCTGGGCAAGGGTGGTCAGGCCAGGTGACACCCTTAGGATGGGTGAGCATGAGAGGTCTCAGCTTCTAAGCTTGAGAACAGCTCAGCATGAGAATGGCGGAAAGGTGAGTCTTAAGTACAGACTGATTGGGGAGGGCCCAAGCAGCTTGGAGTGATGGGAGGAGGGGTCCAAGGAGTGGCCAAGCAGTTTGGGGTGAGGGAAGGAGGGGTCTAGGGAGATCTGGATGGGGGTGGCCAGCAAGCTGAGGCAAAGGGAACACTGGCAGCCTAGCTAGGAATAAGGGTGGGAATGGCCAGGAAGGCAAAACAATGGGAAAGCCAGTTGATGGGGGAGGTGGACCATTTGGAAAAGGATCCAGGTGAGAATTTCCATTTGGAATGTCTGAGTGATTTGAACAGACAGTGAGAATAGATAATGAAGGGAGCTGGGAGGGGAAGTTTGCTTTCAAAGGGAAATAAGGCAGTTTCTAGAACTTGACGGGTTTCCTGGGACCGGTAGACAAAACTGAAGCCAGGTTCTCTTTGTCAAAGAGAGATAAGTGAGTCTACAAAGAATCTAAAAGTTTTAAGGTTTTTCTGGAAAGTGTAGGTAAACCTCTTCACTAGCACCCCTTGAACCACCTCAGCTAAGGGTTAAGAAATAGAAAATGAGCAGTGAAACAAATGGGATAAATAAAACCCAGGATCAATCAAGCACAGTGGCACAAGGTTTAATAAAATCAAGATGCCAAACTGCTAGGAAAGCTAGAAAAACTGTCTGGCAGAAGTTAAATTTTAATTTTAAGTTAAGTTAAACTAAGCGAGAGGTGATCAAAAATTTAATTTGGGAAAGCAAAATGGACATCAAGATATAGGGAGCAAAAATTGATGTGGCTTTGCAGTGTTTTAATGGTTAGTGAAATAAACACTGATTAAGCACCTACTATGTGTCAGGCTTTGTGTTAAGGGCTGGAGATGTGAAGAAATGTAAAAGGCAAACCCTGCTCTTGGGAGCTCACAGTTTAACAGGAGAGAGAACGTGCAAACAACTATGTACAAACAGGATAAATTGGAGACAATCAACAGAGGGAAAGCACTATAATTAAGGGGGGGGCTTAATTAAGGGACCATAATAAAGGTTTCATGAAGAAGGGACTTGAAGCAGGCCAGGCAAGGGAGAGACGAGGAGGGGGTGAGGTATAAGAATAGAAAGGTAGGAGGGGGCCAGGTTATGAAGGGCCTGGGTATCTGGGAGAATAGTGAGGGTTTGGGGGAAAGATAATGAGTTTAGTTTTGGATATGTTGAGTATAAGATGTTTATGGGACATTGAGTTAAAGATATCCAAGAGGCAGTTGGAGATGTAATACTGGGGATCAGCAGAGAGATTAGGGATAAAAAAAAGAGTCAATTTGAGAATCATCAGCATAAAAATGATAATTAAATCCACAGGAGATAATGAGAGCATCAAGGAAAACGGTACAGAGGGAGAAGAAAAGAGAACCCAGGACAGGGCATTGGAGGACAGTTTCAATTAGTTGGCCTGACCTCGATGAAGATCCAGCAAAGATGACTGAGAAGGAATGTTCGAACAGGTAGGAGAACCAGGAGACAGTAGTGCCCCCAGAAACCTAGAGAGAAGAAAGTATCAAGGAGGAAGAAGCTGATAGTACCACAGGTTTCAGAGAGATGAAGAAGGATGAGGATTGGGAAAAGGCCATTAGATATGGCAATTAAGAGATCATTTGTAACTTAGGTTGAATGATAAAGTCAGAAACCAGACCATAGAGTTAAGAAAAGCATTTCAGCCTTCTCAAGCAGTTTAGCCACAAAAGGGACAACAGATATTAAACTAGTGGAAATGTATGGAAATGTATGGAGCGAGGGCAGCTAGGTGATGCCGTGGATATGAAGAGGTTTACCTACAACTCCCAGAAAAATCTTAAAACTTTTAGATTCCTTGTAGACTCACTTAACTCTCTTTGACAAAAAGAACCTGGCTTCAGTTTTGTTTACCAGTCCCAGGAAACCCTTCAAGTTTTAGAAACTGCCTTCTTTCCCTTTGAAAGCCCTTTGAAAGCAAACTTCCCCCCCCCCCCCAGCTCCCTTCATTATCTATTCTCATTGTCTGTTCAAATCACTCAGACATTCCAAACGGAAATTCTCACCTGGACCCTCTTCCAAACGGTCCACCTCCCCAGTCAATTGGCTTTCCCATTGTTTTGCCTTCCTGGCCATTCTAGGCACCAGTGTTCCCTTTGCCCCAGCTTGCTGGCCACCCCCATCCAGATCTCCTTAGACCCCTCCTCCCCTCACCCCAAACTGCTTGGCCACTCCTTGGACCTCTCCTCCCATCACTCCAAGCTGCTTGGCCCCTCCCCAATCAGTCTGTACTTAAGACTCACCTTTCCCCCATTCTCATGCTGAGCTGTTCTCAAGCTTAGAAGCTGAGACCCTTCATGCCCACCCATCCTAAGGGCGTCACCTGGCCTGACCACCCTAGCCCCAGCCCCCACTCAGACTCTGAGCTTTCTAGACTGCCTCATGTTGCTCATCCTTGTGAGCATCACCTGACCACCTTGAACCCTATTTAGATCACTGATGTTTGGGTTCCTTTGGAGTCTGGCCTATACGCTTATCTTTAATAAACTTTTTCTCTGGCTGGAAGAAGATCTGAGTTGAATTCATTCAGGCAGATCCGCGCCGTGATTTGGGTTTTTTCCCCCGCAATCTTGGGGTGCCTCTGTGCATCTAAGAGCACCCCAAAACCTCCCCCTCTTCAGATAGAGCACTGGGCCTGGAGTCAGGAAGACCTGACTTCATTTACTAGTTGTGTGACCCTGAGCAAGTCACTTAACCTTGTTTGCCTCAGTTTCCTTATCTGTAAAATGAGCTGGAGAAGGAAATGGCAAACCACTCCAGTATCTTTGCCAAGAAAACCCCACAGACATGACTGAAATGACTGAACAACAAGAATGGATAATGTGATGGTCTTCTCAGGAGGAGGGAAGTATGAGCGTGTTTGTAGGCAGTAGGGAAGCAGCCAATAGACAGGGATTGATTGATGGTAAGTAAGAGTGGGGATGACAGAAGAGACAGTCTGCTGGAGAAGAAAGAATGGAACTGGATCACTTGTGCACGTGGAGGGGTTTGTTTCAGCTAGAAAAAGGGCCACCCCATCATGTGAAATGGGCAAAGGAAGAAATGACCAGGCATCTGAAATGAGGAGGAGGAGAGAAGAGAGAGCTCACCGTGGATGGCCTTGATTCTTTC